TGACTTTGTAATGAAAATGCCACTGGTGTTTGGAGTTCGACAATGCTTCAACCAGTAACACTTTCTAACATGAATCGTACCCATCAAGTGAAATCAAAAGATAGAAGCGCGGAGGTTCGAAGATATATTTGACAGATTATCAATATATCGAAGATCGATTGATCTAATCTGGCTAGCAGTTGCAGGGGATGTTGATTACGGCGTTCCTACTCGTGATCTGGTGAGGATTCATGACCGAGCGCCTTCAGCTAGGTGAGTCCATTGAAACTAATGTGTTCAGTATCCGATGTCGAAGACTTACAGCGCTGTTGATTTTGGGGACTTGTTTGCCGCTACAGATCATTCTCCCCACCCTAGCAGGGTGTTTATGACCCTAAGACGTCACCAGCCAGAAGTTTCAGCCCAACGAGTTTGTCGTTGGTAAACACTCGATTCCTTGGAAACTGTTCAGGGAGGTTACGGGAAACAAGGCGTCTTCAACTACATTGTTTGCTCCAGACATATGTTGTATGTCCGAAGTAAATTGCGAAACATAGTCCAGTTGTCGAGACTCTCGAGGTAAGTACTTGTCTGAAGGTGAGCTTAAACAGAAGGTTATAGGTTTTTGATCGGTAAAAAGAGCGAATTCTCGGCCTTCTATATAGTGTTGAAAATGCCGTGCAGCACAATACATAGCTAAGAGTTTCCTACTAAAATTGCTGTACCCCGATTCAGTACATAAAAACCGTCTTGAGAAAAATGTCAAAGGTTGCCTGGCGTGGTTAACGCATTGTTGTAAGACTCCTCCGATTGCTGAGTCGGATGCGTCTAATCCGATACTAATTGGTGCTTCGGTGTCCTAATCTTCAAGCATTGTTGCTTTAGAGATAATTTCCCTAACTGTGGAAAATGTTTTCCTAGTGGTATCGTCCAAATTGATGGATTTCGTATTTCCCCGAAGCCGGTTAGTCAGAGGTTACATAAGTGACGCGCAGTATGGTATGAACCGTCTAGAGAAACTTACAAGGTCGTTAACGTGCGTCCTAAACTTGAGTATTGTATAAAAGAGGCTATCCCATGTTTAAAAAATGAAAATGAGCTTTTAGAAAAGATTCAGCTAGTAGCAATTAGGCGGATTCCCGGAATGGAGAAGCTTCCGTATTATGCTCGACTAGCCAAACTAAACCTATTCCCCTTGTCATATCGATTACGGTTTCGAATTACTTAGTGATAAATTTGCACCTCATATGCCCCAGTTTCATTGTCTCCCAAAACAGAGAATTTACGAGGACACTCCAAAATATTTAACAACCCTAGAACAAATAACCTGTCAGCTGATTATGGACTTTCCCATTGAATTGTAGCGTGGTGTCGAGTCTCAGTTGACTATGAAAACCACTACAAAGAAACAAGTGCCAAATAAATCAGAAGGCGAAGATTGAATGTAACCAGATTTGTCCACTGGCGATCTCGTGGTATCGAATGAATACCGAGATCGTGCCAAGAAAAGGCACAAGCGGAATCGGCAGGAGAAAACGCGTGCGAATTGGGTCACGAACTGCGAAACAGTGATGGAGGATAATAGAAGCACAATATGTCTGTCATTAGAACAGTTAAAAAAACGAGCACAGTAAAACAATAACTGGTACAGTTGGTTATAATAATAATTGTCTTCATTAAACCATTAAACCGTTCTCGTGATAAAAGTAAGTCACTACAGAATCATGAACGAATGGGATCCATTAACTCAACACGTGATTGAAGCTCCATCTGTCGGCTCTCTCGAAAGAATGTCGGGTTAACTGGGAGACCATCACTGCCAGGACTAACACAGGCCAACAAGCTTCCAGTCCCTTTCAAACTGAAACTCAGGATTTAAGGTCACACATATTCACCAATAATACTCATAACTCTGCTTGTTCCACAAACCTAATAGAAGCTGTCGGTAACCAATGCTTTAAGACATGGGAGCTAGTTAAATTAAATCTCTCCTCATCCCATTTAGAACCATGTAGACCATTTGAGCAAGTGCCTTGGAAATTGGCTCTTCTGTCATTACCTTCAAAACTCATGGAGTCCCTGATATGCGACGGTTTAAACGACTATCTACTGTCCTTAAATTTCTTCTCACCCCAACAGCATGGTTTCAGGAAGGGTTACTCTTGTATAACCGACCTGCTGACTGCAGTGGACAGATGGACAAGCATCCTCCATCGCAAGGGAAAGGTTGATATCATTTACCTTGATTTCTCAAAGGCTTTTGATATGGTTAACCACTTGTGTCTTATCAATAAGCTCAAACGACTAGGTATCAAACCACCTCTAATCGATTGGCTTACTTCATACCTAAAAAATCGACACTTTAAGGTTAGGGTTAATTTCACTTTATCTCAGGCTATGAAATGTCCTAGTGGGGTTCCCTCAGGGCTCAGTACTATAGCCTCTTCTCTTCTTGATCTACATAAATGATCTTCCTCAACAGGTAACTTCAGACTTATTACTTTTTGCCGACGACGTGAAACTTTGGAGAGAGATACGCAACCAAGACGATATACAGGCACTTCAAGAGGATCTGACTGGGCTCCAAAGTTGGGCAGACGATAACGGACTTCAACACTTCAAAGTGTAAAGTAGTCCATCTGAGACATGTCGCAAACTACAGTTACAACTTAGGAAACTTCTCTCTAGTAGTATCCCAAGTCGAAAAAGATTTAGGAGTCCTGGTGCCCCATGATTTAAAGTCTTACGCCAATTGTGACAAAAATGCCTTCCGAGCAAACCTTGCACTGGTAACGTTGGAGCGCATTTTTGGCCAGTTTGACGGACGAACTTTCCATACAATCTTCAATAGTTTCATCCGTCCCCATTTAGAGTACGGAAACATAGTACTCCCCCCTCACTCCAAAAGGACAAGGTCACTTTGGAGCGTATCCAACGGCGAGCCACGAAATCAGTTCGAGGACTCAAATCTAAACCTTACGAAGAACGCCTCCATTCACTAGACCTTTACCCATTAGAGTATAGGCGTCTTAGAGGTGATTTGTTAATGGCTTAAAGTATTCTTAACACTTCTGGACATCCTCTTAAACACCTACTTAAGCTTAGTTCGAATAATAACCTAAGGGGTAACACCCAGAAACTGGAAACACAACATAGCAAGACGGAATGTAGACACAACTTCTACTCCTTAAGAGTTGTCAAAAGCTGGAATTCGCTGCCAGCCGAGCTAGTCCAAGCGACTTCTCAGGAGTCCTTCAAGAGGCAACTTGACGTATTCTAAAGGACCAAGGACAGCATCACACTATGATTTACCAATTTCGTTTCTTCTTTTATTGTTAGCATACCTAGGTTCCAGCCTGGAGGATTTGGTGATCCCCTGCTACTAGACACGGAAGGCTGTTAAGCGAAAGCTTCTTCTATTCCGTCCACAACCATTTGAACCATTTGAACCATTGTGAGTCGAAACGAAAAGTCAAGTTTTGCGCTACTTGCGGGTAAGCGGTTGTTAGTTGGTTTTATACAATACACTCGTCTAATTTGTATTTATTTTCACATAAAAGACTTTAAAATGGACAAGCGTAACCTTATTACTTTCTTTTTGCTTTGATAGAAAATGACAGGCTATGTTATATGAGTGATTTTTGTTTGTTTCTAGTTAACTGTTAACTGCATCTTCTCCATTGTACTCTTGCAACTACTTGTGATCATCTGCAATTCGACTTGACTAGTCTTTCACGAAACCCTTGAAGCTTTTTTTGTATCCATAAACTTACGTTCAGCTTTCGCTAGGTGCACTAAATATGTTTAGTCGATGTTTGTTCATCATTGGTTTTCCATGATATTCTGCAACACATCATTTACTATCACTCACCAAAGCCCTATTTTTTGAGATAGAACACCACTTAAATTTAGCCTAAAGCTCTACCAAAAGTGAAATTAATAGGGTCTGTTTAAACTTAGTCATAGGTGCTATTCTTGACAGTGGCGTTCGTATGAAAACTGGCAACCTGAAATAATATGGATCGCACTGATCTATTTGAGTATTGTTCATATATATATATATCACACTACTCAATATATTCAAACCATGTCGTTTCTCATTAAATTGTTCTAGGTCCTGTCGTTGAAAGTTGTGTTGAAATACTGACTCTAAGCATGTTGCTACCGGGCGTTCTTAGTAACGGCTCATATTAATTTCCAACTAGCTTAAAATAGGATACCTCTTAGGTTGCCAAGGGGTTTTTAAAAGCAGAAATACTGGGTCTCTTGGAGTATAGTGATTTTCGCAACTGGTATTGCTGTAAAGATTCACTTTTGCTTCGAGGAAGTTTTAGTGTTATTCATCCTGGGTCCTCCATATCCACCGAGTCAGTTAAAGCGCCGGACATTCGCCTTTCGTCCTCTCAATTTCGTAAACAGCACCCCCGGTCACGAGATGGCAGGGAGCAGTACGTCCCTGGAAGCGGCTGTATACGCGTGGTCACTTAAAAGCATTTTGAGGGAGAGAAAGGAACTCTCTCCACCCTTCGGCCGTCCCCTGGGCCTAATCTCAGGACCACTAACTCGATGGTTCTGATATGAAGAAGTAACTCTTCAAGGGTTTCTTTGGTCGAATACTAGTTAAATATCCACTATTTCCAAAATCCATGTCTCACATTCACAAAGTAGAATGAAGCAAACTATTGTGCAGTGTACTCGTATTTCAGTTGTCAGACGGGTATCTTGCCTGAGTCACGGGTGACACAAGTTGTAAAAGGTCTACCAAACTTTCTGAATTCTTGCCAAAATTTCGGCAAACGCCAACTCACTAGGGTTGATGAGGCTTCCAAGATAAGTGGTCAATACAATTATCTCATATTCTATCGTTGATTCAGGCGTTGAAACATATCAGTCGGAAGGCAAAATTTTGCATTTGAAGGGATTGACACGTACCTCAAACATGTCAGGATTGCTGTTCGAGGTTATAAGAAGTATCTTTCTACTGAATAAAACTATATCCTCTGCACCAGCCAGAGAATCGTATGGTAGAAGATGTATTCCTGGTAAGTTAAACGATAAGTGTTATCTCTTAAAGGATTTCGGTGATGAAGTTAAATAAAATTAGTAGAGGCGAGTAGCTCTGACGAATACAACTTTAATTGATCAATTTCGATCATTTGTCGTAAACTGTGACTCAACCAGGAGTTTTCGACTGGAGAACCTGTACATAGTTAAGGTATTTAGTACATTTTTTAATGACACTGCCACAAAACCTGTCGATCTTAAGAGTAGATCGGTAAATTAAGGTCAAGAAATGCAACTTTGGCTGGGAGTCGGTAAATATCTGTGTCCCATAACCTGACGAATTAAGGAATACTTAGTTGATACATTCTCACTCAAGTCTTAATCTAGCGTGATTTTCCCAGACTTGATCTTCATGAGCCATAATTAAGCGTTGGATAATTATTGTGGCTTAAAATTCGGAATCTAGATTAGTCAAACTGATTGCTCAGTGATTATTACAAGAAGATTTTCACTTTTGAATGAACTGGAGTGATCAGCGACTGAAACCAGTCATATGAGTTTACGTCCAGTCCTCAGACTAGCTGATGTTCCGGTCAATCCAATAACCAGAACTGAACCATCATCCTCACATATTCCTGAGATTAATCCATCAGGGCTTTCAGCTTCACCTCTCGATTAGCTGTGACCTTTCCAACGTCATCAAGAGTCAGGGGCTTTTGTTGACATTCCATTCGAGTGGTTTGGTAACAGTAGGCTACTAAACAGTAACTGAAAAGCAGTTAAGCTGTTCTTCTAAGCGTTTTACTCATCGTTGCAATCTCTCGAACTTGGTGGATCATCGCCTCATCCCTTTCCTAAACAGCTTCACTAATTCCCGAAGTGTAAATACCTGTTTTTTTGTATGTATGTCTACTTTTTCCATTGCCTTCACTCTCATTGCTCACGATCACTACATAGACTTCAGTATACGTTTGACTTAATTTTGCTCCTTATCGTATTTTGAGTTTGATGGGATGATTTTTGGACCACCTATCAATTCTGTAGACACTAAAAAATGCAGTCTTCTGACCACCTTAAGCAACAATACAACCATGTTTGGGATACGGTTCTCTCCCTGCAGACGTAAAATGTTACTTCAGGATTGGGTTGCGTCACCTCCCGAATTAGTGATAGGGGATGAACTGGTTGGACACTTTGACCGTTTCACTTATCTTGGTAGTCTCATCACCACTGAGGGTCTGGTGTCTAACGAAATCTTGGCAAGGATTTTAAAAGGCTTGATTGGCTTTTGTCAACTTGTGGCGTAGACGAGATATCCGTCTTCCAACCAAAGAGCAAGTTTACTGTGCAGCAGTCCACTCCATTCTACTTTATGGATGTGAAACATGGCCATTAAGAATAGAGGACATTTGTAGGTTACTGGTATTCGACCATAGGTGTATACGATTTTATTTATTTATTTATTTGAACACATAAATATTGGTACAAAAGGGCACCAAATATAGATGCGACACACAAAAAATGAGAATTTGGAGAGAAGGGAAAAAAGAAAGGTAAGGAGCGTTGAAAAAAAGAACAATAACGAACAGATTAGTGTAAGGTAGTGTAATAATAATAATAATGGAAGAAACAGAAAGGTACAATCAGAAGAGATCTTTCGGTTAAGGAAGAAGCAACGACTTTTAATGAAGAAAGTAAAAGGTTACAGCAGGATCGCCACTGGCTTCTATTCTGAGCCATATCTGATAACGTCTCTAGCCACTGTGTTGCACCATCTCTCAGATGCCAACCAGGGAGTCGTGAAGGACCAACACAAGCCAGCCCTTTGCAGCTTTCTTTCATACCACGACACCATGTCATGCACTGACCACCTCTCCGCTTCTTCCAACCAGTCCCAGAGTCGGCAAATAATACACGACGTGGAATTCTCTGGGAGGACATTCGTAGAACATGTCCAAGCCACCGAAGTCGATGTTTCAAGATGGTGACACCAATCGCATTATCGTCTCTGTGCCCGAACACACGATGCCGAACCTCTGCATTTATTTTTATTTTTAACACAGATATTGGTACAAGGAGGCGCCAAATACATATGCGCCACACAAATCTCATTCGATATGTGTGAGGGCTGTAATACTGCCCGGGTGCCCAGCCCGAAGCAGGTGCTTTTCTTAGGGGGCCACACCCCGAGCCTTTGACCTAAAGGTCTAATCCACAAGGCAGTGGAGCATCGTGATGAGATGCAGCCGCATGGTAGCCGATGACCAACGATTGGTTCATGCGCCATTTGTTCCTGCAGGATACTGGAGCCCATGTTCACCATTGGTTTGGGATCCGGTTAAAGCGCCGAAGATTCGCATTTCGTCCTCTCATTTTCGTAAACAACACCCCCGCGACGAGAAGGCAGTGAGTAGAACTTCCCTGGAAGAGGCTATATACGCGTGGCCATGTGAGGGCATTTCGAGAGCGAGGGCGGGTCCGCCTCACTCTCGGCCATACCAGGGCATTCGGGGGCTGTAGTGTCAGGAGTGGAATTCGAACCCACGCCCACAGAGTGGACTGCGAAGCATTGCTCTTGTATTTTGGGACCACGGTGTAAGCAATCACTGGGTTAGGAATAGGGTCAGTCAGTAACAACGTAGAACTTCGTACGTACGTACATCAGTTCAAGTTGCCACACCATATTAGCACACAGATGTAGTGGTCGATTCAAATCCCGTAGTGGTAGAGGTAATAAAAGTATAAGCAGTATTTGGGAAGATTAGTGTTTAGAGATGTTATTTAAAGAGCATAATACAGTGAAATAAATTTGAGAAGAGAAAAAAAAGAGACAAGGAGGAATCAGGAGATTAAAATTTGGGAGAACACAAAGAGTGTATGCACCTGCGCCATTGCAAACGATTTTGAGCCATGTCATTCAGGGTCTCTAACCATCGGTTGCTATCATCTCGCGGTCCCCAACCAGGTAGTCTACACCTACCAACATGACTCAGTCCACTTGTCAGTGACTTCATGGACTTGTGCCATGTTTTGGTCTGGCCGCCCCTAGCTTTCTTCCAACCTACTCCTATACCACTGAACATGGCACGTCGAGGCAGTCGGTCGTTGGGCATACGTAACACGTGTCCCAGCCATCTCAACTGATGAAGTTTCACTACGTCATCAATTGATTTGCCATCCTTACCTAGTACCCGTTTCCTAACAACTGCATTACTTACTCGATGGTCCCAGGATATACGAGCAATATTTCGAAGACACCTATGATCAAATACTAGTAACCTACGAACATCCTCTACTCTTACCGGCCATGTTTCACTGCCATAAAGTAGGACGGAACGAACTGCTGCGCAGTAAACACGTCCTTTGGTTGATAGACGGATATCTCGCCTACGCCATAAATGACGCAAGTTGGTAAAAGCTAGTCGAGCCTTCTGTATCCGTGCTGAGATTTCGTCACACAACAGACCACAAGGGCTGATGAGACTTCCAAGATAAGTGAAGCGATCGACACGCTCAATTACTTCACTCCCTATCATTAGTTCGGGTGTCAATGCAACCCAATCCTGAAGCAACATTTTGCATTTCGAGGAGGAGAATCGCATCCCGAACATGCTTGCATTGTTGCTTAGAGTGGTCAGAAGACTGCATTTTGTCAGCGTCTTCACCAAATAAAACTATGTCATCAGCATATTCTAAGTCAACAAGTGAACCTCCCGGTAGAAGTTCAACCCCCGGAAATTTAGATGAGGAAAGTGTTATCTCTAAAAGTACGTCGACGACAAAGTTGAACAAGAATGGAGAGAGTGGACAGCCCTGACGAACACCACTTGAGGTAATCAATTCTGATGACAGTTCGCCATAAGCTCTCACTCGACCAGTTGTGTTCGAGTAGAGAGCCTTTATAAGGTTAATGTACTTCTTTGGTACTCCTTTCAGTGACAAACACTGCCATAGAACCTTACGATCAACAGAGTCGAATGCCGCCTTAAGGTCGAGAAATACTACCATTGTGGGGCGTCTGAACGTGTGTCTGTGTTCTAGAACCTGACGTAGTGTGAATATCTGATCTATACAACCACGTCCAGGTCGAAAACCAGCCTGATTTTCTCTAGTCTGCTCTTCACGAGCTTTAGTTAGGCGTCGAAGTATTATTGAAGCTAATATTTTAGACACTATATTAGTCAAACTGATTCCTCTGTGATTGTCACAAGAGGACTTTTGTCCTTTCTTATAGACTGGCACAATCAGTGATTGAGACCAGTCAGATGGGATTACGTCCAGTTCCCAAATTCTACCTAAGACCTCAGTTAATCTCACTGCTAATACTGGACCACCATCCTTAAAAATCTCAGGAGTAAACCTGTCAGGGCCTGCTGCTCTCCCTCGTTTCAGATTTCCTATGGCTTTTTCAACTTCGTAAAGACGGAGGACCTACATTAACTTGCCATTCAGGTTGACTGGAGATCGTGGGAAACCGAAGTGTGGCTGAAGGCCAGTTGAACTGATCCCTAAAGTGTTCTGCCCATCGATCCAATCTCCTGGATTGAGAATGTATAATATGTCCATCTTTCTCTGAGATTGTTTCGCTAACAGTCGGTTTCCTAATACCGGTTTCCTTAACAAGTCTGAACAATTGTCTGCTATTACCTATTGCCGCTGCCTTTTCCATCTCTCTTGCTTTCGCTACCCACCACTGTTCACGATCATTGCGTAGACTTCTTGTCAGCTTGCGCTTAAGCTGACTCCGCTCTTCATTATGTTCAGAGCCAGGTGGAATGAGTTTCCGAGCATCTATCAGTGAGATAGATGCTGCTGAGATCCAGTGTTGCTCCCTAACCTTACGGGTTACCTTACTGGCAGATATCACTGCTGTTTCCACAGCTTTTCGGATATCATTCCATGCTGCCTCGGGGTGGGCATCACATACATGGCTGCCTAACTGTTTTCCTAGTTGTTCCTGAAATATACTCTTAGCTTGACTATCATTAAGTAGGGCCCTAAGAGGCTTACTTGCAGCGTCTTTCCTACGTCCAGTAAG